TAAATCAAAAAAAGGCCGGAGATCTTGTCTTGCTGTTTGATATTTTTGTGTAATTCCCATTTGTCTAGGCATTACTGGTCATGTTCTCGCACACTGATGGCACTACTATGTCGGAGCATAAAAGGCCTCAGAACTATCCAAATCTGGCAATCCTGGTGGCATCTGAAAGGGCATTTGTTTCTCTACCCGTTGATGTACGTTTCATATCCATATTTGGTTTATTTCAGAAAATATCGTCAGAAGAATTCCAGAACTCCTGTCCTGCTGCTTGCTATTTTTGTGCAATTGCGTTTGTCAACGCATTACTCGTCCTGTTCCCACGTACTGATGGCACTCCCTATGTTGCAGCATAAAAGGCCTGAGAATTATCCAAATCTGGCAATCCTGGTGGCATCTTAAAGGGCGAATGTTTTTCTATCCAGTCATGTAAGTTTCATATCCCTATTTTTTATTAGTTCTGAAATTATACTCAGAAGAAGGCCGGAGATCTTGTCCTGCTGCTTGCTAATTTTGTGTAATTCCCATTTGTCTACGCATTACAGAACCTGTTCCCGAGGAATGATGACTCTACTATGTTGCAGCATAAAAGTCCTGAGAATTATCCAAATCTGGCAATCTTGGTGGCATCGGAAAGGGCGAATGCTCCTCTATCCATTGATGTAAGTTTCATATCCCTATTTAATATAGTTTTGAAATTATACTCAGAAGAAGGCCGGAAATCTTGTCCTGCTGCTTGCTATTTTTGTGCAATTCGCATTTGTCTACGCATTACAGGTCATGTTCCCTCGTACTGATGGCACTCCTATGTTGCAGCATAAAAGGCCTGAGAATTATCCAAATCTAGCAATCATGGTGCCATCTGAAAGGGCAAATGTTCCTCTATCCATTGATGTACGTTTCATATCCATATTTGGTTTATTTCAGAAAATATCGTCAGAAGAATTCCAGAACTCCTGTCCTGCTGCTTGCTATTTTTGTGCAATTCGCGTTTGTCAACGCATTACTCGTCCTGTTCCCACGTACTGATGGCACTCCCTATGTTGCAGCATAAAAGGCCTGAGAATTATCCAAATCTGGCAATCCTGGTGGCATCTTGAAGGGCGAATGTTTTTCTATCCAGTCATGTAAGTTTCATATCCCTATTTATTTTATTTCTGAAATTATACTCAGAAGAGGGCCGGAGATCTTGTCCTGCTGCTTGCTATTTTTGTGTAATTCCCTTTTTTTTACGCATTGCAGGTCCTGTTCCCGCGGAATGATGGCTCTCCTATGTTGCAGCATTAAAGGCCTGAGAATTATCCAAATCTGGCAATCTTGGTGGCATCTGAAAGGGCAAACGTTTTTCTATCAATTGAGGTAAGTTTCATATCCCTATTTATTTTAGTTCTCAAATTATATTCAGAAGAGGGCCGGAAATCTTATCCTGCTGCTTGCTATTTTTTTGTAATTCCCATTTGTTTACCCATTACTGGTCATGTTCCGGCGCATTGATGGCACTGCTATGTTTGAGTATAAAAGGCCTGAGGATTATCCAAATCTGGCAATCTCTGTGGCATCTGAAAGGGCAAATGTTCCTCTACCCATTGATGTAAGTTTCATATCCATATTTGGTTTATTTCAGAAAATACCGTCAGAAGAATGCCAGAAATCGTGTCCTGCTGCTTGTTTTTTTTGTGTAATTCCCATTTGTCTACGCATTACTGGTCCTGTTCCCGCGTACTGATGGCACTCCTATGTTGTAGCATAAAAGGCCTGAAGATTATCTAATCTGGTAATCTTGGTGGCATCTGAAAGGGCAAAGGTTCTACTATCAATTGATGTAAGTTTCATATCCCTTTTTATTTTAGTTCTGACATTAAACTCAGAAGAGGGCCGGAGATCTTGTCTTGCTGCTTGCTAGTTTTGTGTAATTCCCATTTGTCTACGTATTCCAGGTCCTGTTCCCGCGGAATGATGGCTGTACTATGTTGCAGCATAAAAGGCCTGTGAATTTTCCAAATCTGGCAATCCTGGTGGTATCTGAAATGGCGATTATTCCTCTATCCATTGATGTAAGTTTCATATCCCTATTTATTTTAGGTCTGAAATTATACTCAGAAGAAGGCCGGAGATCTTGTCCTGCTACTTGCTATTTTTGT